ATTTCTAGTAAATTATTCCTTTATTTATATTTTAATTAGTCTTTTTATATTTTTAAATTCAATATTTCTTATGTATTGTCATTACATACATGTAAAAACTGTATGACAAGCTATTCAAAGAACTCCACTAGATTCTTACGGAAAATGGCCTTCTCTTCTCGTAGTTCTCGACGTGTAAATCTAAAGTCTCATTAGGTGCTAAGCTGCTAAGTCGTAAAAACTCATCTTTTTGAGATACGATCCCTTAAAGTTCCATTCTTCCATAAGGATTTCCAAAGTGTTTGACAGATGGTCATTTTCTGTAAGGATCTAACGGGGTCCTTTAAGTTTTAGTATTTATCAGGATTTTTCAAATTTTCAAAGCAATTATTCTCTACTTATCATTTTAATTTTGTATTAGGGTCCTGAATTATACAAAAAGGTTTCTCATCCGATATAAGCATCACAGTTTACACGTCAGTCAAAGATTGCAACTCAAGTTATACTTATTTATAAATGAAACTAACTGCATTGCGATAGAGATTTGTATCGACTATGTATGAGAAAATGATGCGAAAAATGCAAACAATCATTATTTAAAATTCAAATTTTCTTAAAAGAGAAAGTCTCGAGTTGATTTTGCACAAATTAAATGGACGACACTTGTCCACAGTGAATAGATTTTGTGGTAGCTAGGATGAGTTTTTATTGGTTTATTTAGCAAGGAGGTTCTAAAATTCACATTACCTTCGAATTAGCTTTTTCCAAATTTTAGAATATGTCAGGAATGAAAAATGTTCGTTTTCAATAAAATTCCTTTTTCTTGGGTTTGCAAATGTTGTGTCAATACTAATCATTTTTTTAATCTACAATTGCACAGTACCTAGTACGTTGTAGGAACTATGAAAGAATTTCCCTCATCTGAACTACGTTTTTAGGTTCCTTCCTTTTAGCGGATACCTTTTAATATATTTTACTTTTTTTACAGATCCAGTTCTGCATAATATTCATTCACAATTTCCAAGTACTGTTCAGACAATGCGACTACCCGAAGTTCATAGTGTTTCTATTGGGCACCCAGGCGATGTTCTTTTTCTATTTATTCGGACAATTCTACTTGAGAACATACGGCAAGAGTGACAAGAAAATTGAAAGATCGGAGTCGTCGGACAGCGTAAACAACAATAACGTGGTCAAAAATGGAAAACTGAAAACCAAATAGTAGGAAATAGTTATGTTCTTGTTTCTTGTTCTTTTTCTTAGCGGATAAGTGAATGCTGCTCAAAATGATTATATTAATCATACATGTTACAAACATTTGAATGAGTGCTACTGTTGGATGTTTTTGTGTACCTAAGTGATGTGGATTATTGATTTCATTCCTCTTGTTTATTTGTTGATTTTAATTGATTTTTAAAATGAGAGAATACGGACAGTGCAATAATTGACGAGTACAATTATTATATTTTTAGCTAAACAATTGCGATATTCCGTTATTTCAAAAGAATCTATTTTCATTTTACAAATCTATGTAGGTGCCATAATTAAATAAATACAGCATGCATTTAGTAAAAATGAATTGAGGAACTTTTATTAATCATATGATATAATAATTAAATTCTTGTATGGTTGGCGTCTTTCGGAATTTGTGAGTCTCGAGAGGGAACTACAAAAGGAAGAGCATGTTTCCTTTATGACAGTATTTATTTGTCCTTTAAATAACTGTAAATAAATTAATTAAAATTTTAATTTTCGATTCTACTGTAAAATAAATTCTGCAATTCTCAATTTTTTGGTTTTATTTTTACTTACACTCGAATCAACTTGCAGGTAAGTGAATACACTAGCTCATAAAAAGTATAAACAAACAATTTAACAATAACGCTTTATGCGGAAAATATATTAAAATGTATTAAGTATTTGGATTAAGAAAATCTTGTAAGATGAATTTGATTAACAGGTAGGTATTACTTTCGATTTAAATGTGAAACCCCGCTGTATATGTAAAAGGATCCTAATGTTTTCGTTTTTTTATCTTCTTATTATTTTTTATCGATTAGAATCCGGTCAATAATAGAGCGCGAAATGCTGACAGAAGATTTTCTTAGTTCTACCTGTCAGACTACCGAAAGTTACATCAGAGTTAAGTATAATAAGCATAAAATGAAGCAGTTCTCATGATGCCATCTCAAAACCTAAATGTATTTGGCCCTTGTCTGCCCTTATGCTAATATCATTAACGTACTCTATTACATATTATCCTTAAATTCTTCTTATTTAATTATTTATTTAAACTTCAAGTTAACACTACGTACCTACTAGATTAGTAGATTAACTAGCGAAATCAATAATAATCGAGGAGAGTTGAATCCAAGATCACGAAGAAGCAAATAATGCAGGGTGGCGAGGCGGTTTGCCGACTTCACTCACCCTATTATTATTCTCTACCATTTTCTAGTTCTCCAAATATACCTACAATATCTAAGGTAGACTAATATTATTATTCTATTGTTACGTTATTTATTAATTATAGTTAAATTACTTATTGTTTGAGTGAATCAATTGTTTCTATCCATTAGCTAACATGCACTTTAACAAATTGTTGACTAAATTGTTCTAAATTAGGTTTATAGATTCGCTTAAAAAAAATAGTTTATACATAACCACTGCGTAAGTTAAATAATTTCATACTTCACATTGCCAGCTATCAAAAAAATAAACACTTTTTTTAAACTTTTATGCCAGAATTTCAACCCTTACGGCCCTTGCTGCACTTATGCCTTCTCCATTGTTGATTTAGTTGGTACTTCCTATTAGTATATAATAATAGAAGAAATGAAGGTATTGTTGCATAACAAGAAGTTATCGGAAAAGTAATATTTATTCTTACAACATTGACACCACGGGAATCGCTCGATTTTATGCCTATTTTACTTATTTCTGATGTACCTTTCAGTGGTCTGAGAGGCAGAACTAAGAAAATTATTTATGAATTTTTGTCACTGTAACTTTCAGTGGTCTGAAAGGCAGAACTAAAAAAGTATTCATGAATTTTTGTCACTATCTTCGGGTGTAAAAATAAAAACATGAAAAAACTAAAACGGACGCTCACCCTAGTTATCGGAAAATCTTATTCTTTCAGATGGATGTAGTTGGTCTGAGGATGACGCCTTTAGTGTCGAAATACGTTTTGAATTTTTTAAACGTTTTCGTATGGAATTCGAGACTTTAGCGTTTTATTAAATTTTATTGGACGGAATTATTATTTTGAAATTCAAATTTCCAAAACATGCATAGGTAGCTGTGACTTGTGCTTTTTATTGTTGGATACACCGCTACACAGCTGAAGTGAAATATACGCAATTTTTTCAGAAACAGTAATAATCCCGATCTAAATATTCATTAAAAACCATTGTATTCATTACCAAGCGTTTCTGTGGCGTCAGTTAGTTAGTTAAATGACCTGATAAAGACAAGCCCTGTACGTGCCGTTGTCTCACTAGAAACATTTCAACAAATTTTTTTTGATCTTAGTTTTTACTGTAGGGCACACACATTCTCAAAATGTCACAATTATTTAAAAAACTCGCTAGTGGCTATCACCATCTATTTTACGAATTAGCAGGTAAGCAAGTTAAATCTGTAAAATTAAACTTATATGTATGCTTGAAATTAGATTCATTGCATTCGTTATTTTTTAAGTTACATTTAAAAGAAAAAACAATTTCTTCCATATATTCAAACAGCAAATGTAAATTTGTAGCAAGATTTATAAAATGTATTAAGTATTTGGATTAAGAAAATCTTGTAAGATGAATTTGATTAACAGGTAGGTATTACTTTCGATTTAAATGTGAAACCCCGCTGTATATGTAAAAGGATCCTAATGTTTTCGTTTTTTTATCTTCTTATTATTTTTTATCGATTAGAATCCGGTCAATAATAGAGCGCGAAATGCTGACAGAAGATTTTCTTAGTTCTACCTGTCAGACTACCGAAAGTTACATCAGAGTTAAGTATAATAAGCATAAAATGAAGCAGTTCTCATGATGCCATCTCAAAACCTAAATGTATTTGGCCCTTGTCTGCCCTTATGCTAATATCATTAACGTACTCTATTACATATTATCCTTAAATTCTTCTTATTTAATTATTTATTTAAACTTCAAGTTAACACTACGTACCTACTAGATTAGTAGATTAACTAGCGAAATCAATAATAATCGAGGAGAGTTGAATCCAAGATCACGAAGAAGCAAATAATGCAGGGTGGCGAGGCGGTTTGCCGACTTCACTCACCCTATTATTATTCTCTACCATTTTCTAGTTCTCCAAATATACCTACAATATCTAAGGTAGACTAATATTATTATTCTATTGTTACATTATTTATTAATTATAGTTAAATTACTTATTGTTTGAGTGAATCAATTGTTTCTATCCATTAGCTAACATGCACTTTAACAAATTGTTGACTAAATTGTTCTAAATTAGNATATTTAAAACCCTTACTACAAGCCCTTTAATTTGATATGTCATACAGTACAGTTTGCAAAACTTCTTTTTTAATTTCCTATAGGCCCCCAGAAATGACCCCATGCTCAAAATTAATTTATTTACGTTATGCGTCCGTGTTTGGGCCACAGAAATTCGTATGTGTACTAAATTTCAACTTAATCGGCTGACTGTGACAGACGGACAGACAGACACACTAGTGATCCTATAAAGTTTCAGTTTTTGATTCGAACGTACGGAACCCTAAAAACCACAAATTAAATGAATTACTACTGGGCGATTTTAAAAATCGGTCAAGTATCTAACTATAAACAGATTCCTACAAGAATAAGTTTTTTTAAAATCAAATCCGATTACTTAAGGTTTGGGTTCCAATAATTGTTTCAAAATTAAAAGTTCAAGAGGTACCTACCCGAGATAAAAATGTTCATTCTCTCAGAGTTTCTGAAAGGGAGGCTCGAGTCTCCGTCTCTCATCGAGTTTCTCTGATGTCGCTGTGAGAGTTTGTCGGGAGATTGTCGAAAAAACTATTTAGCGTCTCTGAACGAGAGACTCTAGTCGCTCATAGAGAGATCCTCATTTCGTATCCAGTTTCTGAACGAGAGACTTGAATCTCTGAATTAACAATTTTATCGTTCGAGTCTCTCATACAGAGACTGTGAGAGATCCATAAAAACACCTGGGCAATAACTGAGAGACTGTGAAAGACTGTGAGAGACGCTCTCAGAGACGCTGAAAAACTCTGAAAAACTGAGAGACTGAAAATTTTTGTCTAAGGATAGTTAAAGAACTTAAATGTCTTTCTCATCCATGTTAACGATGCTAATGTATTTAACACAATTATGCAGAACGGTAATAGTTTGAAAAATGATAAGGGAGAGTATTAGTTTATTTTAAACATTCGTTTAGGACCATTCCATTTTATACTCAATTTGCTTTAGTTTTTAGCTCTATGACTAATTTTAATTTTCTACATCATTTGTCGAATTATATGCCGGAGTAAAAAACTTCAAAAGTTTGAAAAAGTTAATTTGAAACTTTTAAATGACAAAAATTGATGTGTAAATGTGTAAGAATGAATTTCAAAATTTCATGAATATAAATCCACCAAATGAAATTTTACCTTAAGTTTGGTAATTCTATCTCTGGTTCCAAGTGTAGTTATTCAGAACAATAAGGTAGACGGCACAAAAGATAATAAATAATTCATCTTTGCATTTACCGGTTATTCAAACCCACTTAATGACGTTAGAAACACGCTTTTGAGTGTTAAAGGTTACATTAATAACGCTGCCATAAATGCTCTGAAATTAGCCATTTTTTATATATGTAATAATAACGATAGACAAGAGTTGATTAAAATTTACATATTATTATAGTCATCCCGCCTTCCCCAAGTTATTGAACTCGATAACTTATTCAGAAGAGTGCAGCAAGAAACGCGTAAAAATTACAAGGAATTTAGTTAATATTAGTTTCGAAATTTAAAAACATTGTTTAGGCTTTTACGACTACTACCTATTTTTAGCAGAGCCGTTTTCTCAGAGATGCTACGGTAAGTCAAACGGGCGATAGCATGGCGATCTGGCTAAAAAAATGTAAAACTAAAAGTAAAACATCAATATAACACAAAACTGAAAAAAAAAACACGTTCCCCATACACTCAAACTGCAAATGTAAATTTGTAGCAAGATTTACCATGTTATGTCCAGACCATAGACTTTTTATTAATCTTCCTGTAATGTATAAGTGAAGAACTATCTTCTGTATTTTTTCAAAACTTTTAGGTTCAATATTTTGAATATGAGGGGCAAGGNCAGACCATAGACTTTTTATTAATCTTCCTGTAATGTATAAGTGAAGAACTATCTTCTGTATTTTTTCAAAACTTTTAGGTTCAATATTTTGAATATGAGGGGCAAGGAATGGTCAATTTTCATCTATTTTCTTAAGTAACTTTAAAACTATTTATTTTAAAATTATAAAAAAATATTTTGAGACCCTTAAAACAAGCCCTTTCATTTGATATGTCACACGGTACAGTTTGTAAAACGTTTTTCTTTTTAATTCCCTAAAAATGACCCTCACGTTCAAAATTAATTTATTATCTTTAGTTTCAATTTAAGCGGTCTAGTAAATTCGAATCAAATTGACTGTGACAGACGGACAGACAGACACACACACGAGTGATCTTATAAGGGTTCTGTTTTTCGTTCGGTTGTACGGAACCTTAAAAATATCATTTTACTTGTTATTTCTTGTTTGAACCCATTAAACTACTTGCCTATGACCATGTTAGCAATGAACAATTTTCAACAAATTCTCACCTAAAAATTGCAGTTCTGAATTCAACTGAATCATCAGCAACCGATTAAAAATTGAAAATTGGTCTGAGCACGCTTTGGTCGGTGCTAATACGACTAACTTCCCATTAGATAATACAGTTATTATTGATTCCGTAACTTCATTGTTGTGATTAGATTAGAACGTATTTTAATTAAATTGTTTGTAATTAATTCGTTTTTTTTTTATAAAAAAAAAACGGCTTGACCGATTTCGTTCAAATTTCTTTCAGATCTTCATTATGATAATATCTTTCGAAAAAATTTTGGTTGAGGGCGATATCTCAATCCGTTCTTGAGATATCGAAAACGAAAAAAATGCTGACATACGAACGTACGTACATACGTACGTACGTACGTACGTACGTACGTACATACACACATCATCAAAAAAATTGGCTAGCATGCTACTAATATGTTAAAACGTGGAAATATAATGAAAATTCCGATTTCACTTTTCGACCCAATTACAATAACTTCCTAATGGGAAGTTAAAAATGAGGACCATCATCTAGTGCATGCACAGAATTACTGTATGGTGTATATTATGTATAAATTCTATGATTTAGTTATCTCAAATTCAAGAAGTTCCATCATAAATTATTATATAAATGAGCAAAATATTGATATTGACAGATCCTAGGGTGGAACCGTTCTTCCTGATGTCATCGCCGATCCCTGTGGCAATCATTGTAGCGTTTTACATCTATTTCGTCTTCAAATTAGGGCCTCGATTAATGAAAAATAGACCACCTTTCGACTTAGAAAAAGTATTAATCATATACAATATTGTTCAGATAATACTGTGCGGGTATCTCGTTATACAGGTAAGTTTTTCTGGCAATTTAGATGTACCCCCGATGTCTACCAATTTTACCTTTTTTTCAGTTTGTACGCCACCTATTATTTACATATAGTTTCATATGCGAGCCAATAAGTTATTCAACGGACGAAATGTCAATTTTCGTTGCAAGACACGTGTGGCTGTATTTCATTATAAAAGTAATAGACCTGCTAGATACGGTAAGTTTGAAATAACGAGATTACGCTGATGTTCATTATTTCCCGAAAATTTTCGCGAAAGCCGTTCCACATTTCATTATGATGGGAGATTTCCAGGATACGGTAACATGTTCCCATGATAAGAATGGGTTACGGTTCTAGATAACCCGCTAGGAACAGGGGGTAGAATCAAATAGTGAAAGTGTCCATTTTTATTTTGATTACGTCATCGAGATGGTGACCAAAAGTTTATAGAAATGCCGATATCGGTATGCTTAATGGAGCTATGGAAGGGCTGACACGTCAGTTAGAACAAAGGGGGTGACGAACAAACCCGGTGAAATACACAAAAATTGTTGCTTAGAAACGTCTTTCGAAATATGAAAAATTAAAAGAAATTGTTCAGTTTCAATGATATTTCCGAAGATCAAATTACTGAAATGAAAAATACGCATTCCCTTTAAATTCCCTAGAAAACAGGTGACAGTCTATGGTCATGGTCTAGGTTACACTCAAGGATAAACATTAATATAAGCGTGCAAGTTTTATCTAAAGTTTTTCTCAAAATAATGAATCAGCGGTGCGGCCCCAAAAAATTGCATAAAGATCGGTGATGAGCTTCCCGAAAAATATTGGGTTTTTAGAAGTATAAAACCTAAATAACATTTTTTGTCAAAAAAGGCAAGTTCTTTGTTAGTAATAAAACAAATACTGTAAATGAGAAAACAAAATAGGTATTCTTTCATTAGATAACTGATTTATCTCTTTTTCGAAAATGACTAACGGTAGACGACCAAAAATTTACATATGAACTTCTAATGAACCTTAGCTAATCTCAAGATGATTGGTAACACTTGTACATTAAATTATATAAAAATAATA